GACAACCCAGGATATTCAATATGGGGTATGGCCAGTCTTTTTTTTTGTAGCCACTGATCCCAGCTTTAAGGAGGAATTTAGGTTGTAAGCTCTGACCTCCCATACAATCAAATTAGCCCCTTTTGAAATTGACAATACCACCTCTACCACGCAGCCAGTTCATATATGCACGAACATAATTTTAATTTTACCGAACCAATATGAGCACTTTTTGGATATGTTGTGCGCTCAGATCGGAGATATAATTGTTGTGTGGTTCCGATGCTGTTGTCATGTTTTTTTGTGATATGTAAAAATTGTATGTAAGTTTTCCTATTTGATCGATAATTAGATTAGCTTAATTGGAGCTCAATTATCTCTCAAACACAATGGCTTGTGCGAAGGAAACCCAGAGTGTGTCCTAATAAAGTTCAGATTGTTGCTTTTACCCAATACGACTGGTTGCGTCCATTATATTGGGGAAACTCTACATAAAGGGAATACTTACCTATATTTAGCACATCTGGAATTAGGACTAGTGGAGGATTGAAGGAATAACAGCAATAGACTCACAAACCACTTTTTTTTTTCTTTTTGCAAAAAGTTCATATTTCAATAGAAATTTTACTTTTGTAAATGAACCTTGTATCACCACACCCACGGCTCTCAATCAGACAACCGGTTCTGTTACTTCCTGGTTTGGTTGGCTCAGTGGCGCTAAACTCCAGAGGCAGCAATTGCCCAGAGCACCTGCCTTGCAAAAACTTCTCACTGAGCTGCATTGGGAAGTCTGTGATTGGACAGACACAGAAAGTCTGGGTGTGGTTAGAAGGGGAGGGCATGCATAGGCAGCAGACAAGAGATCAGCTGGTAACAATAGCAGTTGCAGGGGTGGCAGCTGCGACCGGGCCAGTCATTCCAGGGGGCCAAGCAAGGCTTGAGGGCCAGCCTGGGCTGCAGGGTGACAGTCAGGAGTGGAGCGCAAACCACAGCACTCCCCTCATGCTAGTCACTGCATGTAGCGTGGCTGAGCAGACTGCCGCCTGACAGGAAGTGTTCACAGAGAGCAAAGAGCACTTCCTGGCAGACCGGGTACCATGGTGAGCAGGTACAGCAGGGGAGAGGGACGAGGAAATGAGACACATGAAAGGGCTGGGGTGGGAGAAGGTGACACAATGAGGTAATAGGAGGGAGAGTGAGACACATGAAGTTGCTGGGGGGAGAAGGTGACACACCCTGTTTCAAGGGCTCCCTGCAGGGTCCTAGTGCACTAACATAGTGTTTTGCTAGGATCTTTCGGGACATTTCCCTGGTGTTCTCAAAAGCAGGATAGGACCTAAAAAACGGAACAGTTGAGAGGTGAGGTATGGTGTGTGCGCGTGCACGTGTCTATGTATATGTGACAGATCCGCCTTGCACCCCGACTGGGTACTTCCGTCAACAGCTGCTTCCTAGTAATCCTTGAGTGCCATAAGCACCGCAACGGACACCATAACCACCGTGCGCCACAAACCTCTGCAGCTTGGTTAGGGTCTCGCTGTCCTCCACCCACCCTGGACCGAAGACCAAGATCCAGCTTCCAGTGGGTAGACCTCACCTACTCCAGAAAGCAAAGCAGGCTGCTCTTACAAGAGCAATCATTGTAAGAAAAGGGAGTATAGTGATTATAGCAATCAGAGTGAATATAGTTCTCCAATCCCCCAAACATTAGACTTCACGAAGGGTAAAACAAATCTCTTTAATGGCAACCACAACTGGCCTTATATGCAGGTCACCATGCAAGGGGCACTCCCCCCTGGACCTCAGAGTAGACTACAGAAAAAACACACACACAATTGCATTGGCTCTCAGGTCCAGGACACTCCCATACAAAATAGGTCAATCCCTCCCCTGTGCCTAGGAGATAATTGAATCAGCACTGTATTAAACTCAATTATCTCCAGGCACAGAAAACATAAATTTTTACAAAACCCGTAAAATACCTTTAAAAACACAAAATCCACACAAAAGTTACATGCATCGATCTGGGTGACCAACATATTAAAAAAAAACACCCAGATCAGTTCAGGGGTTCAGAAATTTCCTGGAAGTCATAATTTGACCGACCACACGCATGGTCCCATGCTGAAAATAGTTACATAGAATCGTGGCGAACTGCCACTGGGGACCGACTGGAAATCGCAAAGTCTTCATGACGAAAATAGTTCCAGGGCATTCGTCGCTAAGTCCCCCTTTAGTCTATTCGTGGTTTTGATCCATGTGAACAGCCGCCAGGGAGCTAGCCTTCTGTTCGATGCACATGAATGGAAAATGCCGAACTAAAATATGGGCCTTTACAGTTGCTGACCTGGCCCATAGTCGGTAGGCAGGAGGCAAGTTACCACACTCCTCCAGGAGTCCGTGGCAAACGTCTGTGGAAAGTGGCATTTGTCACAGCATACATTGATATAAACTGATCAGCCACATTAACAGCTTAAAGGGACAATATAGTCAACATATAAAAGCAAGAAAGACAGGTCCCCCAGTCTTCTTTCTTGCTTTTATATGAACTTGCCGTTAAAAATAAATAAATCCGAGCACTTTTTAATAAAACTTACCTCCATTCCAACACCGAGCTCCCCGCCAGAACACACACCCTTTTTCGGCAAAATGCCGAAATCGCAGGGTCCAGCAGGACGCTTCTCTTTGAGAAGCATCATTGCGATGTGGTGCGCATGCGTGGTTCGCGCTGCACCAATCGCATTCTTCATAGAGCGACATTAAATGCCGCCCTATGAACAAACTGAGTGCTCAACCACGCATGAGCGGAATGCGCGTTCGTGAGCTGAGCTGTCTGATTGACAGCTCAGCTCGCTTTCTATACCAGCCCCCCTTTCTCAGCCAAACTTTGTGTGTTTGTATAGAAACACTATATATAGAGATCTCTATATATAGTGTTTCTATGCAAACACACAAGTAGTAAAAAATTAAAGCCATACACACACACACACTCCCCATCCATCCAGTCCTCCCTAACCATCCATCCCTCCATCCCTAACCTACTTTTTTTTTTTTAATCTCTATCTCCCACTCTTTCCCTCCCTCCCTCCCACTCTCTCACCCTCAGTCACCCACTCACCCAATAAGTTTACTTACAGTTTGAATCCTCCCCTCCTGCTCGGTCTCCTCTTCATCCTGTCAGCTCTCAATTCCACGTGACAGCCTGCAGACAAAATGCTCATGCACAGTCAGAGCTGCCCTCTGTCTGCTGACAGCAGATCTGAGTGGATTGAGGAGTTTTATGCCTCAATCAACTCGGAAGTTCCTCTGGTGGCATTCTGACTGCAACTGGAGGTGTTCCTAGCTTTCAATGTAAACACTATATTTTCTCAGAAAATACAGTGTTTACATGAGAAAGGCTGCAGGGAGCTATCGATCTCACCTGAACAACCTCATTAAGCTAAAGTTGTTCAGGTGACTATAGTGTCCCTTTAACTCCTTAAGGACACATGACATGTGTGACACGTCATGATTCCCTTTTATTCCAGAAGTTTGGTCCTTAAGGGATTAAGGACGGAGGGAATTATCCAAGTTCTGAGCCAAAACAAACCCTTGACTTTGAGCTATAGGTCTGTTAACCATAATTTGCCTCTTTCATATTAAGTGTTCCAATAATTATTACATATCTTTTTGCTCAGGAGAAATAAGGCTTTGGTGTTCCTTGATGTTAGTGGCCTCTTTCAGCAGGATAATACACCCAACAAAAATTGTTTGGAATAGTTTGAGGAACATGACAAAGAGTTCAAGGTGTTGTCTTGGCCTCCAAATTGCCCAGATTCATGGAGGCTGCACCTCGCAGCTTGCAAGACTTAAAGGATCTTGATGAAGAAGAGAAAAAAAGAAAGCTTTAAGATTTAACAGACGGTGCCAGGAGACTCTGTGAAAGTAACATGGTTATGGTACCCAGGGGCTTTTTAAAATGTTCTGAATGAACTATACAGCATTGCATGGTGTGGTTTTTAAATTAAGGTGCTTCATTGCCAATATATTTTCCAGTTGAAAATGTGCTGCATTAATACTGTAATTTGCAATAATCAACCCTGGTCTATCTCGGTGTTCCCCAAAACAGTCCTCATGGCCCACCAGCAATCTGGGTTTTATGAACTTCCCTGTTTTATTCCATTGGAGATACTGGCAAAACCTGGACTGTCGGATAGCCTTGAGGACTGGTTTGGGAAACACTGGGCTTTTTTATTTTGAAGATAGCCCGATCTTTACATTTGCTGTGAATTAAATGAAAACAGTCACCTCCTGTGATATTTAATATTGTGTTAATGTATTCTTATCGTTGACAAATATGTATTTGTGATGTGTGGAAAGTAAAGTTAAATTTAGAAATCCATACGTCCGTATCCTGCCACTGCCCCCTCTGTAACGGATCACCTAGCACCCCGACTGGGTACCTCCGTTGAAGAACGCTTCCTAGCTTGCGCTGAGGACCACAAGCACCGCACCGGACACCACAACCACCGCACACTCCACAACTATAGTGCCCTGAGGGTGCCCCCACCCTCAGGGTTCCCCTCCCGCCCAGCTCTGGAAAGGGGAAAGGGGTTAAAACTTACCTTTTTCCAGCGCTGGGCGGGAAGCTCTCCTCCTCCCCGTCGGCTGACTGCGCGCGCATTCAACCGGTCACACAGGAAAGCATTCATAATGCTTTCCTATGGACGCATGTGTGCTCTCACTGTGAAAATCACAGTGAGAAGCACGCAAGCGCCTCTAGCGGCTGTCAATGAGACAGCCGCTAGAGGAAATAGGGGAAGGCTTAACCCATTCATAAACATAGCAGTTTCTCTGAAACTGCTATGTTTATAAAAAATAAAGTGTTAACCCTAGCTGGACCTGGCACCCAGACCACTTCATTAAGCTGAAGTGGTCTGGGTGCCTAGCGTGGTCCTTTAAAGCTCAAGGGAGTATGTGGAGCATAGCAATCCCCAGTGTGAGTATAGCTGTCCCCTCCAATCACGAAACAACACTACGTGTTGAGGGTCAAGAAGATCTGACTGTACTGGCACATACAGCCTCTTTTATTCACATTCTACAAACATAGTACTGCCCACAGGGTTTTGAAGAACAAATAATCAACACATTACAACACAGCTAACACTCCCATTCATTACATCAGAAATCCTCCCCTCTGCCTGTGATATAATTATCTCAACACGATAGACTAACTTAATTATCACAGGCAGGAAAATACAATATTATAAAACATATCACAGGGACCCCAAAACATGCAATAACTCCATAAAAATATATGTTTTTTTCCCCCACACCCTCCATCTTAGCTCCCTGCCAATCACAGCTATAAACTTTGTCCTTTACACATGTCCGTTAACACAAGGAATAATGAAAATGTATATATCCCTTCCTTTCCCTAGCAATGCGTCCCCCTGGCTTTTATTGTCAGAATGGGATTATTATGAAATTTGACAAGTCTTTAAATGATCACTGAAGCCACTGAGACGTCTTCATCTCAATGATGTTGTCCTGTCCTCTTAACCGCATCATGTAAAACATTATAGTTATTTTAGTAGCTGCAATATTTACATTGCAAAGTTAAATCCACTGGGAGACAGCCATCAGAGGCTCTGATGCACTGACTGAGTAAAATCCAAGAGACACAATGCAAGCTCATTCCCTAAGAGAAGAATTGATTGTGTGCCTAACACCTTTAATTATAAGCCGTATTAGGTCCATCGCCAGAGGAAGCCATGAGGTCATGGAAGGAAGAGAGGTGAGCAGCTCTATGGCACACTCTGCACTGGAAAAGGTGTATTCACAGCAAATAGCAGGGGGGACAGGACAGGGACACTAAAGTGTTAGCAGTATATGTTTTCATTTCTAACAAATATAAATTAAAACAGAGCATCTCATGAAGAAAACAAATGAATACAAGTTGTATTTGATCTTCATTGTTTCAATAGGAGTAAATTCTACAGAAACGAGCACTGTGTGAGGTATAATCGCAGCAGGGTTCTCTGGTAAACGAGAATTCAGGGTAATTATGTGAAGGGCCAAGTAACCGAGCTGTAAACATTCCCCAAATAATCTATGCTCCAGTTTGGCTGTAAGTTTGAAATTTAAATTCACTTTTGTAAAAAAAACAAAAAACGGTAAGACTATACAAATGTTTCATTTTTCTTTTCTCCCCATATTTGATGCCTGGAGATATATTTATAGTCTCATTGTAAGGTATACCGACTCGTTGGAATGGAGAACAAATTCACCAAAGAACCAGTTGCCTAAACAATGTACAAACCCATTAATTAGTAACTAGATTCCAATATGACTAACATTAGTGGCAAATACAAGGTTGATTTTTTTTCAGCCATTCCCCGCCTCCATCAAAATCTATTATTCTCCTGCCATGCTTTAAAAAAATAAAATAAAATACGAGCAGAGATTTATATAGCAATCCTTTTATTTGCCAGCCTGCTTGTTTTATCATTCCATGATAGTCTGAGCGGGTCGAAGATATGCACAGGGGGAGAAATTAGCAGGACGTAAAAAATAGATCTGCATTTTTAATATTGAAAAATTCAAGGAGCAAAAAAATAAAAAAGTTTAAAATGTTCGAGAAGATCTGGCAACGGTTAGGTATTACTTTCAGCAACATATTTGCTAAGTTTTAAGCAAAGTGTTTGTTTTTAACTTTTACTTTGTTCCCAAGAAGAAGATATTGGTAGGATGATCCTGGAAGGATGGATGTATGAAGTCAGTCTGCAACTGAGAATACAACCACCTTCAAAAGACGTCTTCAGATTCTCCATAGAGATACCTGCCACATGTAAGGTCTTCTTCAGCCCTCCTTGAATACACTGCATGCTTGTTCCACGTGGAGTTGGATGTGAGGAGGTAGCAGTAAGAGCTGCATGGAGGGTTTAACAATGTATTTATTTTCTAAGTTTGGCATTGAGAAGCAAAATCCAAGAAAAAAACCAAAATAGTTCAGGGATTACAAGAGATCTCAGTCTGTTACATAAAATCATCGGAATCATTGCCATCCTGCAGAAAGGGAAATAAAAATCCAGCAGTTATCGTTAAAGAATGTACAGGTTAATCTGCAGCAAGCAGCCATAATGCACCATTTATCACACAACCATTTTAACTATGATTTACGAACATATAGCAAAATGTTATCTTTATCAGCACCTGAGCAGGTCTTGCTCACGATTGACACAAGATGTTGCTGACTTGCAGTCAAGTCTGCTCACAAACAAATGACGAGAAATATTATATATGTATAGACTGACACTAAATCCCATTATTTTTGTTGTAAGTCAAGTGTTTTTGAAAAAAATAATATTTTGTGACCTTTGAAGTAGCTGTTTAGGGAGTGAGCAGGATCTTGAATGAGAATATATATATAAATAAAAGCTTACATCAAAAGTAAAGGTTTATAAGCAAGACCTGTTTTAGTTTGTCTCACACGCCCAGAATGCCCTCTACAGGTCACCTTGGGGAATGGTGAGGAGGGAGAGATGATCAGGCAATGCAGCTTTCTGTTGTTGCTGTTAGTAGGGAATGGGCTAAGTCTGCATGCCACGAGCCGGAGTCTGGCATAGAAAGCACTGGTGAGAAATTATAATACATCACATCCTCCCAGCGTGCAGAGTCTGGAAACCATGTGGGAGTCCAAGGATATCCCAGAAAGTGTGTCTACATTTGCGGCATGCATTGACAACATATCCCCTTTGTGATCTCTCTCGACTGCCAGGAAGATAAATTCCCATCACCAAATCCAGCAGCACTGTAACTGGATACCCAATATAGCAGTGAAAGGTGTACATTGGGGAAATAATGGAGACATCACTCACTTCCCTTAATAAGCTTTGTTAGATTACAGGATTTTATGGCTTTGGGTAGGGTTGTGCTTTCTTTGTCTCAGGGAAGCACCAAAGCCTACATGCCCAGTCTGTCAGAGATTGGTGGGAGTTATACTCCCAGTTCGGCCCCAGTAATACTGGGTGTTATGGTGATAGAATTGTGCTTATTCAATGTACTCTGATCATTTCACTATTTCTGTTACTGCAGGCTTCACATGTGTGATGTGTACTGTGAGAAATCACTACTCAAAACACACAAAAAAAATAAAATAAAAGCCCTGCATTTGACAGCAAAACTGCTGCAATGGAAAAACTAAATCTAATCCGGCTATAAAGTGTGCAATGACCTTGTCAATTCTCATTTTAGTGAAAGTATATTAATTCTACGTCAAGGTTGCACTATTTTTTGGACAGTTTCAGAACTTTGGAGTCTAGTGGATTTAGAACTAGATCAGTTAAGGGAACACAGAACACAAGGGTCATGTTGGGGCTGCCCGAATTCACGGGCCGTACGTACCTGATTGGTAGACATGTTTTCAGCCTTCATCAATGACGTATAATGTCTGGAAATGAAAGAGGAAATAAACCTTAAATAAAGATTTTTTTTATGCATGAAAGTAACACAAGAATGAAAACCGAACTGTCCTAAATTGTAAGCTAAAAATTTTCTTCATTATTGAAATTACATGTGGAATTGCCAAATACAGTTTTATGCAAATGTGTGTGCATCCCAGACAGAATAAAATTTCTTGATTATACTCTAGTTGTGACAGTTCAAGAGCTTAAAAAGGACACTAAGCACCAAAACCACTACAACTCAATACAGATGCTTTCCATTTTATCTGATGAATGCAAACTTTGCAACTTTAGAGAAATGTGACAATAGACCACGTTTCCAGTGACTTTCACACGGACAGCCCAACTGGCACCTATTGAAGGCCTTTACATTCCTGTCAACACACAGAGCAGGACACTGTTGAATATAGTTAAAGTGGACCAGTCACCGTCTGGGGTCTTTGAATGATTTTAACTTGTCCCATGTGAGCACTGCAGTATCGTCAGCTGCCAGGTGCAGACGGTTGTGAGAAAAGACAAGCTTGACAAAAGAAAAAAGTTGAGACAACGCAATCCCTAATTTGTCACAAGAAATCTCAATTGGGTTGGAATCTCAGTGACAGAGCGGCTTTAATGCTTAACTCAGAAGCGCTGGATTCCAGCTTCTGATTGGCATGGCATGAAGAGTGCTACAGATCTCCACTGGAGAAAAGTCAACAACTGTTGGTTTCACTGGAGGTAGAGCAGGTGCTCTAGGGAGACTGACCTGGCTCTGGAAGGTAAGTTTTACAGTAATTTTTTATTTAAAAAGATAAATGAAAAGTCTCACATCTAATAAAAAAATAACATTATACAGTTTGTTTAATAAATACTATGTCAAGGTGTTTCACTTAGTGACGTCAGAAAGGAAAGATAAATGACTGATACAAAGCAAGGGAAAGGTGAAAATAAAACCAAACAAGTCATAATTGCAGTTTATACTGTCTGAACTACCCTTAAGAAAGTGGATTTAAGTGGAACTGTTGAAATCAAGTCAAGATCTAAAAGATAAAGATCGATCTCCAATACAACTGCTCATACATTGGTCAGGAAAGGACATAATGTAGATAAGCCATCGGTGTTTAATAGAATGTGACGGCAGATAAGAACCATTCGGCCCATCTAGTCTGCCCAATTTTCTAAATACTTTATCTTATAGTTATGATAGCCTTATGTCTATCCCACGCATGCTTAAACTCCTTCACTGTGTTAACCTCTACCACTTCCTGATATTTAAGACTATGTCCTCTTGTTGTGGCAGTTTTTCTTCTTTTAAATATAGTCTCCTCCTTTACTGTGTTGATTCCCTTTATGTATTTAAATGTTTCTATCATATCCCCCCTGCCTTGTCTTTCCTCCAAGCTATACATGTTAAGTTCCTTTAACCTTTCCTGGTAAGTTTTATCCCGCAATCCATGAACCAGTTTGGTAGCCCTTCTCTGAACCCTCTCTAAGGTATCAATATCCTTCTGAAGATACGGTCTCCAGTACTGTGTACAATACTCCAAGTGAGGTCTCACCAGTGTTCTGTACAATGGCATGAGCACTTCCCTCTTTCTACTGCTAATACCTCTCCCTATACAACCAAGCATTCTGCTAGCATTTCCTGCTGCTCTATTACATTGCCTGCCTATCTTTAAGTGATCAGAAATAATTACCCCTAAATCCCTTTCCTCATATGTTGAGGTTAGAACTCTATCAAATATTCTGTACTCTGCCCTTGGGTTTTTAAGTCCAAGATGCATTACCTTGCACTTATCCACATTAAATGTCAGCTGCCACATTTTTCTAGTTTACCTAAATCATTTGCCATTTGGCTTATCCCTCCTGGAACAATAACCCGGTTACATATCTTAATATCATCAGCAAAAAGACATACCTTACCATCAAGTCATTCTGCAATATCACTAATAAATATATTAACTAGAATGGGTCCAAGTACAAATCCCTGAGGTACCCCACTGGTGACAAACCCATGCTTTGAATATACTCTATTGACTACAACCCTCTGTTGCCTGTCACTCAGCCACTGCCTTACCCATTCAACAATATTGGAATCCAAACTTAAAGATTGCAGTTTATTGATAAGCCTTCTATGTGCAACAGTGTCAAAAGCCTTACTGAAATCTAGGTAAGCAATGTCTACTGCACCACCCTGATCTATAATTTTAGTTACCCAATCAAAAAAATCAACAAGATTAGTTTGGCATGATCTCCCTGAAGTAAACCCATGTTGTCTCTGATCTTGAAATCCATGTGATTTTAGATGTTCAACAATCCAATTCTTTAACATGGTTTCCATCACTTTCCCCACTACCGAAGTAAGGCTTACTGGCCTATAGTTGCCCGACTCCTCCTTACTACCTTTCTTGTGAATGGGCACAATATTCGCTAACTTCCAATCCTCTGGGACTACTCCTGTTAACAATGATTGGTTAATTAAATCTATTAATGGTTTTGCTAGTACACCACTAAGTTCTTTTTAATAACTTTGGGTGTATTCCATCAGGCCCCACTGACTTATTGGTCTTTACTTTACAGTTGAAAAAGAACCCCTTCCTCTGTAAACTCACATGTAACAAATGACTCATTTGTCCTTTTTCCTAATTGAGGTCCCTTTCCTTCCTTGTCATCGGTAAATACTGAACATCCTGTATATGTTTGAAAGCCAGCAGTGGAGCAAGGAAGATCACGATGACGGTCAGTTTTCAAACATGATCCAAGGTGTATGTGTGTGAAAGGGAGAGAGAGAGAGTATGTGTATGTGTGTGTGTGTATATGTATATATATATATATATATCAAAATCCAAATAGGTTATGGTGGGGAAAAATTGTGATTGAAAACCCCTTCCACCTGAAGTATGTGGATAGTTAATACAATGCTAAACAAAAATCTGCACACCAGTCAAGCCATAAGACTTTCTTTTCCCACAGAAATCCCAAATCAGCAGTGATGTTACAACCGCAAAGGATTCTGGGTGGGCATATGCAAATTAGTTTAACAAAGAATCACATTTTTGCCTCATTCCATTTTAAACATGGATTCCTTTTAATTTGTTTTTGCAGTATACAACTGCTTGGAACACAGTATATTTTATCTTGAAAAAGGCCCTATAGGGGTCGAAACGATCACTGGAATTTTTTTTGCACATGTAATTTGCATTTGAAATAAATTAAGCACTTGTTAAGACCTGAGAGTGCACCTTATCTGTATTTTTTATTATCTATATATATATCTTGGCCTGTAATTGTGGGAGGTACATGGAACCCTACTTAAATCCAGTGAGCCCCTGCTTACCTGTCATCGACGATCTCGGAAGTGATTCTGTTTACTTCCGGTTCACTGGACCCTGACGTAATTTTCCCGCGTGCCAGCAGTCCGTTTGCATTTGTGAGTATAACGAGGGTAGCCAACACACGAACGGCTAAATTTCGGCTAAGTTATACAGCTTCATTCGTGCACTCCTCATACTTGTCAATTACTCACACGTTCGGCTAAACGGTTTCTTTTGTCTATATAGCTCATGTTAAATCCTTCAGGTCGCTGAAAGAGGTTCGTGCTAACTAGCGTTTCGGCTAAATTTCAGCTTCAGCTCCGTTCGCATACAACGCGGTCGTTCCTATTAGTACACACATAGCAGCCACTCGTGTAATCCTCTCTTTCGCATAGACTTTTGTTTATCTGTATTAGCATACCTAGCAAGTCAAGGTCATTTTGGTTAAATACAGCATGGGGAAAGCATTTTTGTCAATGTAAACAGCATTTTGTCTTTCATTTCGTTTTACTTAATTCTTTCAGTACTTCGTCTTTTACTTGTTATTTATGCCTAAAACGTACAGCAATACCCTTATCAGGATGTCATATGGCAGTTATGGTTACATTCACTGTGTAATTTAAAAAATAAATAAAGTGCTTATTGCTATATAAGTATGTCAAATTATGTTTTATTTATGCTCCGCTGCTGCATCTAATTAGTCCAATTTACACATGGCTGTATTTAAATAAGATGTCAACTATGTTCATTTTCTTCCCTCCTGTTAAAGATCATACAAATACGGTCACTGATTGCAACAGGTGCCTTCTTGGTTAAATACACTATTTCATTAAAAAAAAATTCCCTTTGTTAATTGCCGAGTACCGGCTTCGTTTAACCAAACGCTTCTATACTTTACCACCTATACGTGCGGGCCTTTTCATGGTCATCTCCCTGTTTAGTGCTGCATTCGGTAGCACTGCTATTCCCCGCATTTAGGCTTATTTTCAGCTTTCGTTTACCAGTCATTTTGTTTAGCTAATATCGCCACCTTGTGGTTTTTCAATATTGATTAGTAAATTTCAGTTAATGTATGGCAAGTGTTCGTTTATTTTGCAAACTGTATTTTCATTGTTCTGTTCGTTACTTTCATATGGGAGTTATAAACGGTCTTTTATTTTAACTTGCTGGCTTTGCAGTAGAAGTTAAAACTCCGGTTGAAACAGCGCTGGTAAAGCTTTTCATTCAATTTAAACAGCTTTCAATGTCAAAACATTTATTGCGTCACTCTTTAAAAACGTCCTTGTTTTCTACTCTCTAAAATATACAAAATCAGTATGTCCTGACAGCATTTAAGGTATCATTTTATTAAAGGATTTCTCCTCAAAGCATAGCGAATGTGTTTTATAAATATATTAGTATGCTAATCAGGGTAAGATTATGCTTAGATTCCGTCTTGTGCATTGCTAACTGGCATTTCAGTTAAAGTTTTGTATGCATTATCCGTTCGCATAAAACGCTTATGTTTTTCTATTAGTATACACAGTCACATTTTTGCACAAACTTTCGTTTATTTGTATAAACTGCCTCATACCTAGCAGTTCAACTTCATTCCGTTTATACAGCATTGTGAATATTGATATATAAGTGTGTTAAAGGACCACTATAGGCACCCAGACCACTTCAGCTTAATGAAGTGGTCTGGGTGCCTGGTCCAGCTAGGATTAACCCCTTTTTTTTTTTTTTAAATAAACATAGCAGTTTCAGAGAAACTGCTATGTTTACACTAAGGGTTAATCCGGCCTCTAAGGCTGTCTCATTGACAGCCGCTAGAGGCGTTTGCGTGCTTCTCACTGTGAAAATCAGTGAGAACACGCCAGCGTCCATAGGAAAGCATTGTAAATGCTTTCCTATGAGACTGGCTGAATGCGCGCGCAGCTCCTGCCGCGCATGCGCATTCAGCCGATGACGTCGCTAGGAAGGAGAGGAGGAAAGCTCCCCGCCCGGCGCTGGAGAAAGGTAAGATTTTAACCCCTTCCTCTCCCCAGAGCCCGGCGGGAGGGGGTCCCTAATTTAAGAAAGCCTATTCCAAGAGCGTATCAGTTGTTTAAAGGTTTGTTCGTGTTTTTTGCGTGATAAATGTTTCTATTTGTAACTATGGTCGCATTTACAACTTTGCCACTTTTCTCCTAAATCAGTTTACAATACTATCAAACCTTACTTCACAGGCATAAACATTTGTCTATTATTCATACCAAAACGAGCCCTACTGGTCCTCGAGTAGAGATGATATCCTACCTCTACCAAATCAGGTCCTATCCACGTTTTGGATAATCTTTTGGAATCTCAACTCACTTCTATCCCTGATTCCCCACTAGTAGCTTTTCAAGGGAAACCCTTAACCAATAAATGTTTTATGATTGTGGTGGAACCAACCTCGCCACTGTGCACTGGAGAAGCCTGGTTGCTGGCCTGCTCCCTTTAGACTATGGCCCTGCAGTTAAAACCAGTTATCTTCCCTGCTGAAAGGTTTATTCATGCCTTTCTGCTGGGGTGTTCAGTGAGAAGACGCCAGCGTCCATAGGAAAGATTCAATCTACCGAACAAAGTAACGAACGATGGACCACCTGGGAACTGAAGTGTGCCACCAATTGACCGCCCAGAAGCTGCAGTTAACCGCAGCTTAATTGATGGATGCTGGGTGGCCTTTGTTCGTTTGCCGAACACGTGGCAGCGGCCATTTTAGCTCCCGAACGGCCAGCGGTGTTCAGCGCCCAAACTATGGAACTGAAAACGGACACTTAATTGCGCGAACACCGCTGAGCTGCCAGCCTCCTTACCTCTGCGTTCGGTAGTGGAACCGAATCACTGTTCATTCGGTGGTTTGACCGTATGAACAGCATCACCACAGATAGCCATGCCATGGTGCCTATTCGTGTAACAAAAGACTATGGGAAAGACTTTGGCTCCATGGCGATTGGACTGTATGTATGTGATCTGAGCGCCATCCGGTAGTAACGTGTGCTCAGATCTAAGCTATCTGTATATATTTTATGTGACAAATGTAACATTATGTATTTTATTGTATTTTAGTGTTTTATTGTAACCATGTGGTTAATGGAGTTTTGCCTCTGTCCTTGAAGATAATTGGATTACTTCCCAATTATCTCCAGGACAGAGAGGAGGGATTGTGATGCATTGTGGAATTGTAAGCTTGTGATTGGTTAATGTCCAATATGTTTCCCAGTTTCCCATCTGGTCCCCTAGGGGAGTGTCCACCAGGTGGGAGACCTGCATAAAAGCCGGGCAGGTAGCCCCAGTAAACCAGATTCTGCTTGACCCTCAAACCTTAGTGTCGTCTTGTTATTGGGGGAATTGGATTGTATGCTGATTGCCAGGAGTGTAAGCTGATTGTATGCTTTTCCTGTTCGGCTGTTTCCAGTGTTCGTGTGTTTGCAGTTTGGTACTTGCAGTAGCTGTCTGTACATCTGAAAAGGGGAATATCGCCTAAACGTTTAACCTCTTGTGTGCAAAACGGTCCGTTACAATGCTTTACATTCATATATCACATCACTCTGACTATGACATAACCCTCATTCCTTCTCGGACCATTTATTCTGCATTGGAGCAGCCACAGCTGCCTCCGGTAATCACGTCCCAACTCACATCATTAAAATGTGGGTCGGGGGAAATCATCCGCATACAACAAATACATCCCCAATCCTGAGAAAGAAATAAGATTGGCTTTCTGTGAAATGTCTAAATAATGACCGGCTATATAAATGTATCTGACTTGTAAGAATCGCTTATATTTTGCCCTCTTTTACAGGTCTAACCTCAGTTTCGGCACACTTTAACTGACTTTGCTCTCACTACTATTGCTTCTTTATTATTGTTCCTTACATCCTCAAAATGTCCCGTACACAAATATACACACACACACACACACACACACACAGATATACATACTGAAACATTTATTCCTGACCCTATAGTGTTAAAAACACTGTCTAGCCCCCACTGCTCCCCTAAATATAGTAAAATATTATCTTTGTTTCAGTCTGCATGTGCTGGCTCTGCCCCTGATCTACCTCCTTGGCTGACATAATCAGAAGTGGTGATCTGAGCATTGGATTGGTTGAGAATGCCCAAGAACGTGGGGAATGGGGAGGAGCCAAACGCCACCCTGGTCAATCAGCATCTCCTCATAATGTTGCATTGAATCAATTCATCTCTAAGAGGAAAGTTCAGTGACTGCATGCAGAGGGTGAAGACACTGAATGTAAGTCACACTGTGCAGCACTGATCCAGGAAGCACCTCTAGCAGCCATCTGACAAGTGGCCAGTGGAGATATCCCTAGACTAAAATGTAAATATTGCCTTTTCTTTAAGGAAATAAAAAACAAACAAAAAAACAAACAGTGTTTACTGCAAAAAGCCTGCAGGGACTGACTATACTCACCAGAAAAGATACAATAAGCTGTAGTTGTTCTGGTGACTATAGTGTCTCTTTAAGGTAGGGGTACATTTTTCTATCTTTTGTTTTTTTACACATACTTCAATAAAAAAACAAAAATATATCCTTTCAAAACTTGATGAAATAAAAAAACCAAACAAAAAATCCGTGATGACAGTTGTCTTTTTATAGTCACCTGAACAACTTCAGTTTAATGGGATTGTTCAGGTGAGTACAATAGCTCCCTGCAGGCCTTTTCATTTAAACACTGTATTTTCAGAGAAAATACAGTGTTTACTGTAGAATCATGGAACACCTCCAGTGGCAGTCACTCAGACAGCCACCAGCGGGACTTCCGAGTTAAGTCCTGCCTGATGCGCAGTATTCACACGTTTGACGTCTTCACGCTTAGCTAAAGACATCAAACGTGCTATCAGGACCTAGCAAACACACAGCATTGGCTCAAGGTGACAGGTTGAAGGCAGTAGACCAAGCAGGAGGATCCAGAGATGAGATCTACGGACGAACAGACGATAGAGAGGGAGGGAGGGGGAGGAGAGGGAGGGAGGGGCGGATAGAGAGGGAGGGAGGGACGGACAGGGAGGGAGGGAGGGACGGACAGAGAGGGAGGGAGGGACGGACAGAGAGGGAGGGAGGGACGGACAGAGAGGGACGGACGGACATATATGTAGAGATGATAGAAAGAGTGTGTGTATACAAACACTATGTAGAGAGAGATCTCTATATATGGTGTTTCTACGCAAACACTCAAACTTTGGGCTTACGAGGAGTGCGATCTACCGCGACATAACCCTGCAAGGTAATTATTGCAGTTTATAAAAACTGCAATAATTACACTTGCAGGGTTAAGGGTGATGGGAGTTGGCATTCAGACCACTCCAATGGGCAGAAGAGGTCAGGGTGTCCCTTTAGTAGAATACATGTTTTCCTCTATCCAGTATTAAATAAATCCTCGAAACTAATGTCCCATAGTCAGTGAAAAAGCTGAAGAGAGGTTGGATATTCCAACAAAACAATTATCCAAAACATGCCAAAAAAATAAAACATGAACTACTTCAATAAATAAAAAAGATATTTTAAGAATCTTCGTCAACTAGAATTATTCTGTAAGAATAAGTGGGGAATAATTCCTAAAAACAAAAACAGAAAGCCTGTTGGGTGGCTACATGCGTGGGATAGGCATAAGGCTATCCTAGCTATAAGATAAGGCCAGGGACTAATGAAAGTATTTAGTAACTTGGGCAGACTAGATGGGCCGAATGGTTCTGATCTGCCGTCACATTCTATGTTTCTACCACTTTGTACGCTGTTATTTCTGCCAAAAGACGCTGTTACCAAACATTCTAGTTTTATATTGTAACAGTTCGTTCTGGTGGAGTGAATGGTCTTTCCTTATTGAAATTACTCAATGATATTGTTGAGCAATTTGCCAAAATTCCAATTCATTGGTTCAGAAGCAGGAATTATAAAGCAGCCTACACAGAGTAGTTTGACATTATGGGCAGCTCCTCAACCTTGTTTTATAGCCTTAAGAGTTCCCCTTATCGCTCAGACACTGTCTACAAGCAACGTCGCCAATTTTAGCCTGGAAATGCTCGATATCCCAGAACTCCTTTCACTCTGTGAAACTCAGGTTTCTTGTAGTATGGCCTGAAGATCAGTTTCTAGTATTTTTGTTGCTGTTCTGAGGTTTCACAAAAGCAGACAATTCTACCTACAAGAGGCACTAATAGACACTTTACTACCAAGAAGCTGTTCAGGACTCATGTGGTCTGCAAGCCCAAAGTGGGTCTCCTTGAGCCCAGCTTTAAAGCAGCAGCCTCTTGTAAAATCTTGCATTTTCTCCTGTTTATATTGTGTTTCCAATAGCTTATTTAGCATTACTCCACATGTGCACGTTAATCAGAATAACAAAGAAGATAAATGAACAGCCATTGCCTCTGTTGTGTAGCGCCACCTTCTGGCACACTACATGTTTCTTGATGGACAAGACTGACAAAAGAGGAGAGAGTGTGTTAAAAGTGAAGGAGTTACCTGGAACGAATGTGAAAAGTAAAGTGGAGTGTGACAATAAAAGTTGATTTGAGAAAGAAAGGCAATATAATCATATAGGAAATGGTGAGAGGCAGAGAAAGAAAAAAGAAACAAAGAAAGGGGGTCGAGGATTAAAAAAAAAAGTGCATGACAGGGAGAGAATGATGGGAGTCGGAGTGGAAAGGAAAAAGAAAGATAAGAAAAATAAGTGCTGAAAAAGAATTGGGGGTGATAAAGACAGTTATATAAAACATGATAGTCTGATTCAAATTAAATGGGTTCCTGAGCATAATATGGGGAGTGGTAAGGAGAGGGAAGAGTCTGAAATGAGAAGGAAAGGTATGTTTGGGTAGGATAAAGGGGTCTGGGGTCCTGACAAGAGAGAAGTGCAAAAACAGGATGTTTGGTGGTTCTGAAAAGATATATAGTGACATAAAGGGGGCCATGCTTCATGGTGGGACATGAGACTTAACCACTTCACAACCAGTTCACTTTCATTGTAAGGATACATTACTAGAACGTTAACACCAAGGACCAAATGGGAAAAATCTACTTAAGGATTTACTACTTTGGTAGACTATTATGGGTTAACCCCTGTGTGACGAGACCAATCTCGCCACTGTGCATTGGAGGAGCCTGGTTGCCTGCCTGCTGCCTTTTGACTATGGACCAGCATTTAAATACTTTATTTTCCTATACAGAAAGGTCTATTCATGTATTTCTGCCCTGGCGTTCAGTAGATTCTCTGATTTACTGAATGAACTCATTTAACCCAGATAAGCTATGCCATGGAGCCTATTCGTGTAATAAAAGACTTTGGCTCTATTGCAATTGAACTGTATGTGTGTGTTCTGAGCGCCATTCAGTAATAATGCGTGCTCAGACCTAAGCTATCTGGGGATATGTTGCATGTCTGTATTTTATGTAATAAATGTAACCTTGTGTATTCTATTGTGTTTTACTGTCTTTTTGCTGCCATGTGTTCAATGGAGTTTTGCCTCTGTTTTTGGAGATAATTGGATTACTTCTAATTATCTCCAGGATAGAAGACTCTGTGGAACTGGTTTTGGGCAGAAAAGCCATACTTCATTTGGTCACAAAGGACTTCGATCTATCTTTTGAACCAATGGACCAATTTGGATGATTTTGACATATGTTTTGTATTTGGAGTATGCGGATTCGGAAAATGTAAGTTTTACGTGAATGTGATGCATACTTTTCAAGTTATGAATAATGTGTATTTCTCTGCCTGTGATAATTAAATTAACCCATTGGGTAAGGTAATTGTATCACAGGCAGAGGGGAGGATTTTGTGTGGGAGTGTCTGAGTGTATTGTACGTGTTTATTGGTTGTTTTCCAAAACCCTGTGGGTGGTACTAATGTGTAAGAATGTGTATATAAGAACAATAAACCCACAGCTCTGTCTGATCACTGCTTGACCCTCAACACGGAGCCTTGTCTCGTTCTTGGGGGGATTTATTGTATGCTGTTCCAGTTCGACTGCTAGACCTTTCGTATGGTTTTTCCTATTCGGCTGTTTATAGCATTCGTATGTTTGAGAGCATTCATATGCTTCTCCAGTTATGTGGATTGGTGTCTACAGTGCCTGAATATCTGGAAGGGAATATCTCCTAAACGGCGTTTAACCCCTTTTACACCCTGTATGAATGCATTCCCTTAGCTTCCATTCCACTATTTTTATTTAAGGATTGCTGCTCAAAGATCCCGAATAAGTTACATTTATTTTTCCATATATTTACTTATTGTTTATTGAAATATTGACGGATGCAAGCCTGCATGAAATTCCTTGTTATGAAACACGTGTACTAATTCTGCTAAGATAGCATTTTTTCCTAGGATAGAACATAAAGTGACCTTAATAGCTCGCACTGGGGCAGTTGAAAGAGTTACCCAGCACTGCTTCAACAGAAGAAGGTCTGGGATAATAAACGCCAAAATGACAGGATAGTGCCTATAGCCATGAGGAGAGAACACCTAATGGAATATTAAGAAACTGGGGTAACTGGCACAGACTGGACAATGCAAAGTCTGGATAACTGGCACCGATTGGACAATGCAAAGTCTGGGTAACTGGCACCGATTGGACAATATAAAGTATGGGTAACTGGCACCGATTGGACAATATAAAGTATGGGTAACTGGCACCGATTGGACAATATAAAGTATGGGTAACTGGCACCGATTGGACAATATAAAGTATGGGTAACTGGCACCGATTGGACAATATAAAGTATGGGTAACTGGCACCGATTGGACAATATAAAGTATGGATAACTGGCACCGATTGGACAATATAAAGTATGGGTAACTGGCACGATTGGACAATATAAAGTATGGATAACTGGCACCGATTGGACAATATAAAGTATGGATAACTGGCACCGATTGGACAATATAAAGTATGGATAACTGGCACCGATTGGACAATATAAAGTATGGGTAACTGGCACGATTGGACAATATAAAGTATGGGTAACTGGCACCGATTAGACTGGAAAAGGCCTAGCAGTGTTATGATAAAAGCAGTTATAACCTGGCAAGTCAGAACTATTTACCTTCTCTTTTCTAACAATCACACAACTTGCCTAGGCAATTTGAGGAAAAGCAGAAAAATCTACCAGCAAATCACTAAAACATGCTTTAATGCTTTATTATAATGCTGGTAACAGAGGACAATGCTATTTGTGTTTGTCAGCCTATGTGTGTGCTATGAGCCAGCAAGGGAGGTAGAGTGGGAAAGGAATACAAGGATCTATACATTACTAGAACATTAACACAGAGGACCAAAGGGAACGTATATTCATGGATTGCTGTTCAAGGATCCTCTCTATGTCTTTGTGATGTTTACTTACCATTTAATAAACTTTAAGAATATGAATAATGGTTTGCAGCCTGCACTGGTATACTCTTGGAATTGGAATTGTGCCATTCATGTTATTTCAATAATAATCCTGTCACTGTATCTGTATTTGTTAGCATTTTCTTGGCCATTTCACTAATTATGGTCATTTGTAAGCTGGTGCCCCAGGGAGAGGATCACAATGCAGTAAGAGAAGGACTTGGGTAGACCGATGGGAGCTCTAGATGCGACAATGTAATAAAGCAAACTATTGAACTCAAAATAGTGCATTTTTGTAGCTACTTGTGTTTTCTTATTAGACATGTGAATGAATACAAAATGTATCCTTCTGCCATATGAGCTCTCAGACCAGAAATATCGGAAACATTCTCATTGCCCTCAATGAAAAGCCCAAAATATATTACACAAAACATCATGGTTTTACAGCAGAGGTAAGCCCAAGGTAAATCCTGACATATTGCAGGACTATAATCCCAGCCTAAAGGATTGCAACGCATCAAAGAAGTTGATATTCTGCAACAGCTGGAGAGCTCATTAATAGGATATGGAAGTCCATACTTGATTCATGAAAAGACAAAACTGCTGTAGTGATAAAATGCTGTAAAATTACTTCTATCAATGAGTCAATCTCTAAGGTCTGGACCCTCCCGGGGAGTCGCTGACAGCTCTCTGTACCACCCAATGGTTAGTGTGACCAACTTACCACCACCTGATACAAGACCACGCTGCACACCCACGAAACGACAAATCTGCCTCGAGGTATGCACTCATTTTTAGAGTGTACCCACATCTTATATTGCAAGTGTTGGCATATAGTTCATGTTATGGTTTATGGATTCCTCTTGAACTTATTTTCTGTCTAAAATATATCACAAAATCTTTCAATAAAACGAGATTGTAAAAAAAATAAATAAAAAATAAATAAATCACAATCTCCATTAATGGAACCAGAGGTGGCAATATCAACTGACCTGAGTTCATCCAGTTCTTTCTTTTTCTTCACTTCTTCTTTTTCTTTCTTTTTAACTTCCTGAATCTGTGCTTTCTTTTCATTTCGTTCCTCACGGTCTCTTGATTCCTTCTCTGCAGCGAGGTCAGGATAACGCTCGTCCTTGGTCTTCTCCAGCCGGTTCAAGACCTCGTTCACTTTCTTCTCCACCATCACACTTTTCACCTGGAGATTTCAGTGAAGCATAGAGGGTAATGAGACAGTAACCCAAGAAAACCATCAAATTCGGAACAAGAAATCACAAAGAGACTGAAATAATTATTAATTCCATAAACTGTGGAGATTGCAGCCTTTGTAAAGCCTTAAATGCCATGTGTACAGTCCTTGGGGGCTCAATCTTTGCATTTACAAGGGAAGAGTTTATGAAGCAGACGCTGCAGGCCGCTCGGAAATCTAAGAAACGGCAATGTTTACATTCTGCCTAACCAGGTCTTTAGAAGTGGAGGACACCAAACATGGCAAACATGATTCTGACAATCAAATAATTTAGAGCACTTGATTTGTGGATTTCGAAGACTGCCAAGCATGCTTTGTAGGTCCATTACTACTCTCCGTGAGAAGCATTGGATTGGACTACAGGTCATCGTGAGCGGATCAGGCTACAGTGAAGAGTCTGTCCCAGTGCTTGATTTGAGGGATGTGTTAAACACCCCCTCCCCAAAGGGGATCCCAGTAATCTATACAACACTTTTTTTGCTTTAAAATTTAGAGTGTTTCTTTAATAGCAATTTGGCTAGATGGAATATAAAAACAAAAAACAATTCCATGTAATCTTTATCTGACAACTACCTCCAATATAGAAAAGCATATAATATCCAAAGTTTAAAAGGATACTCCAAGCACTGTAACAACTACAGCCTGCTATGGTGGTTATGGTGTCAGGAGTAACCGTGATTACTAGTCAAACCGTGGTTTAAAATCAGGTTTTCTGCAGCAGTATCCGGCTTGCTTGACAGAGATAAGCAAGGCCATAAAGAACGCCAGCTGCCAATGAGAGCAGATCTATAGTGGTTATGGGGCTTGGAGTGTTCTTTAACATACTCTTTAAAACAGAAACAAAACCTAGTTCTTTTTATATGTGTTTAATCTGAATAGTGTGTGTGCCATCTGCTGGACATTTATAATATGTTCCAGAAATTGTCATTTAACAATCAAATGAGGAAAAACTAATATTGCATTCAAACAATGCTATTTGGCTGCTTTAACATTTTTTTATTTTTTTTTTAGTTAAAAACAGAACAAAGAATGGGAATTCTTTCAGAATGATATATGACTAGAAATTGAAAGCAGCACTTTATTTTGTTTTCCTTTCAATTTTCCTATATTAATTATTCTACTCTCTCCACGCCATTTTCGTTATTTATGCTTATAATCTTTTATTCATGGGAATCATTGTTTTGATCCCTGCGGTCGATGAAGCCTGCCTTCAATGGGATTCTCTTGACTGATGAACTGTGGGTGTATCTTAGACACTTTTACTTACGTTCTGCATGTTGCCAAAAATCACAATCCCTGTGAGAAAAAGTAGCTCCTACATAACTTTATAAATAAATAGAAATTAACAGACAAAAACAAAACTGGCAAAGTTCACCGTCACTTTAATGAAGTTTTGCCATATGACAGATTTCTGTAATTTACGTTATTAAATTCACGACAAGGTATTGCAATGCAGAGAGCCAATACATTTGATAGAAAATAAATAAAAGCAGTACATTACATCTTTTTGCCGATAAAATCCAATCTGGCCGACATCCATGTCCCCGGTTTTCTTCAGATTTGCCCAAGGTGTGTACACAATGTTAATATTGTTCATTTTGCACCCTGAAAACACAGAAACAGCTCATTTAAATACAAAAACAACAAAGAGGTGTGAACAAATCCTAGTGTATAAAGTGCTTAATAGATAATTAGCAGAAAGGAACTACCCTGGTTTAGGTAAAGTTTCCAAAGAAATCCCTAAAGACTTACTCTTGTCTTCAGCAAAATGTATACAAACAAAGTAGGGGGTGATCTGCTAAATTAGGAGTAATTAAAGCAACATAGCGTATAACGGTGTTTATGTGAATATAAGAAATGTATTAATGGCCACTCACAAATTCACAGATGTAAAATAGCTTTAAGCATAAAATCCTTCTTGGAATCAGCTGGATTCTTCCATCACTGTTCCCCCACGGTTAGGCTGGAACTGGGATATGTGAACTCAAAAGAGAATATAGAAAAGAATTGAAGTGCACTTTCCAGAGTAAAGTATAAAAAAAATTTACGTTAATTATTTGAACCTTGTTTGATACAGTTCACCCAGTCCTTGAGGAAGTCCAAGCTGTGGACGAAACGCGTAGGACGCTCAGAGGTGATACGGATTGTTTTTAACTATGATTTAAGTTATTCAATTTTTTATACAGTGATGGAAGAATCCAGCTGCTTAAAGCTATTTTACAACTGTGAATTTGTGAGTGGCCATTTGTTAATACGTTGCTTATATTCACATAAACAGTTATACGCTATGTTGCTTTATTTACTAATTTAGCAGATCATCCCCTACTTTGTTTGTATACAGCTCATTTAAATCCTACATTTATTTCATATCCTATATGTATTTCTACAAGGAACCAGAATAAAAATACAGCATCTAAACTCCAAAAATAAAAGGACATAAAGAATATTATCAAATGTTTATAATAAAAGGTTTTGCATCATTTGTTTAATATGGTTTGCCCCCAAAATGAAATTTCTTCACAAATGAGATCAAACTAGTATGTTCTATGCAATGTAACGTGCTTTTCAATCGAGACATACTGTAAAAGTGCTAGTATGGCAAATGAAAAGTTTTGTAAAAACGTTGTGAGAAAAATTCATATATATCTATATATATATCTATATCTATATCTATCTTTCACTTTTTTTAAAGTTCTTTTTTTCTTTGTGTTAGAACCCATTAATCCCACAAAATGTGAAGTATGTCAATATTTTTGAGTTTTGCCATTTACACCCAATAGGGATTGTCATTCTACTAAAAGTGTGTGTTTTCAGAAGAAAAAAAAAATATTATAATCCCACACTTAAACGCTTAGGACATTTTTCATGCGCATCTTGAAAATCTTTTCTCAAAAACAAAAGCCACGCACAAAAACCTGAACAATTAAAATAAATTATGGGCAGTGTTTTCGTTTTCAGTGTTACATAACTTTTTGACAAGAACATACCTTGAATGCTGTTGGCTTTTACTAACTGAACGCAGTCTATCAGAACATCTTTTGGAATGTCTTCTATCGTCTGACCCTAAAAACACAAAAACTGCAGCGTGAGTAGAATCCCTTTTCATTTTTTATTTCAGCAGGCAATGCATTAAAATTAAGCAGAATATAAGTCCTTCATAATTATATACCAGTCATGTCAAGAGATAAAAAGATTTGTCGAGGGATTTAATAAGTGACCATATTCAGCAAAGTGTATTTACATCCTCGATATATTGTATTCCTTAAACAAAGCCCGTAGGAGTATATAGCGATCACGGTGGAATTCTACCGACAGTTTCTGTGCATCCCAGAATAACCTGCAGGACACCTCTCATGGAATCCAACACTTTTTACCACCACTTGATCAGTCTCTACTATAACACATACAATTCTAGAACAAGTCACAGTTCTGGAAGAAAAATAGTTATTATCTATGCAGAACTTTCAAATCCTCTAGCAGATTTTCTTCTGATTGTGTTTTCCGTTCCATACGATTTTCTGCCCAGAGTGTGGTTTCCGTTCCATACCATTCTCTTTAACCTGCATGCTTGTAAGAAATCCTCTTTACCTTGTTTTCCCAGCAAACCCTCACTCCCTCCAAATTTTCTGTGAAAAAGCAGCGCTGACATTGTAGCCTAAAGCCACTTTTAGTGGCTGTCACTCTGATAGCCAGTAAAGGGACTTCCTGGGTTCGGTCTTGCAATCTTGTTTCCACATTCTGCATGGAGATGCTGAAAGCTTCCCATAGACATGTATTTATTCAATATATCTCTATGAGGAAAGTGGATAGGCACATCATGGCGATTTGATGCACATGCACACTAGTCTCCCACAGGGAACCGTTGGATTGGCTGGGATCATCATGACTGATGAGGCGGCATGGAGAGACCAGCACGACAGGAGAATAAAGCTAGGATTATAATCTAAATCATTACAAGAACAAGATATAGTTAGGAATAAATGTTTGTTCCTCTAAAATACGACACTGTGTGCTGTATGCATGTTTGCCACAACAAAATATAACATTTTGATAAAAAACTATTTATAAATGATGAAAGCAGACACTTATCAGCGAATATAGTATGCGAGACAGCAAACACAGCTAAATTACAAGTAACAATGGAAACGGCCTCTTCTGAGAAAATAACATGAAGTGGGAAAGCAAATCAAAGACCGCCGTGATGTAAAAAAAATCAATATAACTACGAGCTTCCCAAATCCCACTGAAAGAAACAATGTTTTGGAAGGAAGACAGATTCATTTTAAGTTGATTATGGTCTGTGTTTGTTTGTAAGGAGTTAGGCTTTGTTATTTTTGCTCTTGGGCTTTGGATATTTGCTGAATGTGGCTGTTTCAGGGGTGTGTCCCTCTGTAGCAGCTTGATTTAATTAGTACTCTCTACCAAGAATAATATTGTTTGTCTCCTTTCATTCCCAATGTTTAGTTTTACCTTTTGTAGCCGGAGGTAAACATGAGCTGATGAGAGTTTATCCACGTGAAACCTGCACACAGAAAACACAAGGTCAGGAGAACGGGACAGTTTTCAGCTTAAGTAATACAAAGAAGAGTAAATCTAGAGAACTGCCAGCAAGGCACAATATCAGCACCTGGAGCATTTGTTAAAATGCCTAAATTATTCTAAAATTTTATTAAAACTACACAAGCTTTAGGCATAATGGCCAGGACACCATGACATTACAATGAGGCCTGACATGAGCCCCAGAAACCATCTCAGCTGGCGAGTGGGGGAAATCTTACAACTCCAACTAGTCTGTGTACGAGTGGCTAGTTATATATGTGAGTGACCGCATACTGTACATGTTTAAGTATTTGCTTATTAAAATTATTTCTTCCTTACAGCATAGGAAACTCCAACACACCTGAAAATAAGCTCTTAAACAAAAAGCAGCTATAATTCATTACTTAAATGTACCGTAAAAAACTCCTAAAGTATTCATGTAATGGAGCTGCCTCTCCGTCATGTTTCCTTCTTGATAATAATCCATAGGAAGAATGTCAGACCATTCCAAACTCTCACATACATAGGTGTGCCCAGAAACCTCTGCAGACCTGTAGCACTGCTGCAAGCCTCACCTAGTGCTTCTCCACAATAACTTCTTTTTAAAAGACACTGTAGGCAACCAGACCACTTCAGCTCATTGAAGTGGTCTGGGCGCTTTGTTCCATGTCCCTTAACCCTACAATAGTAATTATTGCAGTTATTGAGAAACTATATAATTACTGTGGCGAACATAACCTCGCCACTGGCTCCTGGAGGAATCTGCTTGCCCGCCTCCTGCCTCAGGACTATGGGAACAGCAAGATACACTGTAAAATACACTTTAAAAGGCTCTGTTGTGTGATTTACGATTATATTGTTCAGGAACCGAACAACCACATGAACCAGAGCCCACCCGTGTGCTTGATAAGCCCAATTGACACCTTGTAACGAGTTCCACCCCAGTGTTCTAATCGTTCGTCTGGGTGGCCCCATTTTGTATCAACAACCACGAGGTGGTGGCCATCTTGTTCCCGCGAACACAGGCAGCGGTGTTTGGGCGTCAAGCTCATGGAACTGAAGTCGGACACGTAAACTCCCGAACACCACTGGACTTCCATCATCGCCTGTGTTTGGTTCTATACAACTTAGAAGGGCACTGTTCGGTGGAATTGTTCCCACGAACTAGGTGAACAAGCCTCACGTGTTAACTATGTATTCCGTTCGGTATTTTATTCACTTTTGTACTCCCGAAAGAGTACTACTGCTAGCACTGATTTCATGGAACTATTTTGGGCAAGAGGCTCGTATGCGGTCGGTCAGAACCTTACCCCGGTGGTGTTCGGCTATGTTCGTGGGATCGGAGTGCTTTTTAGATATGTTGTGCGCTCAGATCCAGGCTTTCCGGGGATGGAAGACTTGTTGTTTTATATGTATTTTGGGGTGTTTTATAAATTGTTATATTTTCTGTTCCTGTGACATAATTTAATTATAAGTGTTTGCTCTGGTAATTATCTCTCAGGAACAGAGGATCATGGGAGGGTTTTCCCTGTATTCTTGTTTTGGAGACTTCTTGCAGGGCCTTTTGTGTAAAAGGCAGTTTGTGGCCTCCAATAAACCTTGGCTCATGTGGGGGGGGAGGGGGAAGGGAACAACTATACTGCTATATCACTCTCTTTTACTGGCTATACAGTGATACTCTCTTGGAGGAGAGGTCTTCCCACTGGGAGCTGGATCCGGGTGTTTGGTCCAGGGTGGGACGGTATGGTGAGACCCCAGCCAAGCTGCGGCAGCTAAGGGGCTACAATGGTTACGGTGTCCGGTGCGATGTAAAAGTAACAAAAGCTGAAATCATTGCCACATTGGTTCCCTAGCACAGAGTGATTTTGTTTAAACTAATTTCCTCCTCACTTTAAAACAAAAATCATATATAGTATTTGAAAATGCAAGAACTAAGACAAATAGCATGTTATCCTTATATATATAAGGAATGCCAAAGGAATTACACTGATTAGTAAAATGATTTTCCCATTACAGAGATTAAAGCTATACACAATTCCATGTACTGATCATCAGCACAACACAGAACAAGTCAATGGTGAATAGGGTCCATCCTCTATACACTCTGTAGCTATACTATTTACATTCATACCATATATCCTCAGGCCACCCGTATTTTATAAGATCTTCATCTGCAAAAAAAAAAAAAAAAATAGAAATAGTAACTAGAAAATGGAAAGCTGTTTTGATATAATATGCAAATAAATAAAGCAAACAATGCGCGCATTACAGGTTGCTCCATCCACAGTGAAGATCTTAGGGCACGTAAGCAAAAGAGACTTTAAAATGGTTTAAATAGAAGATTGGATCGCCCCACAGGTGAGCAGTCAGCATCCCATGATGAACAGCAATGTAGGGTGACAGCTCTATAAAAAGGATTTTGTCATCTAGTAAGTCCAGCGATTGGTTGACAATTTTCATCCTCTGCCATCGGGAGGTAAAGGAGTTATTGAACAAAAGACATCAGTCACTGCCTGTCCAAAACTGATGCAAATGAAGCGTCTTATGTAGTGGTAACTATTAGAGACTGATTTTTACATGCATGGCCGTTTCCCTATATTAAGGATGTTGACTCAACTGGGCATGCACGTAGGGGCGCGCGCGCGCGCGCGCACACACACACACACACACACACACACACACACACACACACACACACACACACACACACGTTTTATTACATAATTGGATAATTCTTTGCTAATGGTTCCTGGTGGCAGACTGTTGGGCTTGAGTCAATATGTCTAACTTTTGAAAGATTATATGGCTATAAGTGAGTACAAGTAAACAATCCCTAATAATACTAATAATAACAAAACAATTGTTTTTAATGCAAACATCAAATTTGGATTTGAAACAATCACACAAACAGCTTTTTAACACACTAAGGGTTGCTACCCTGCTGGAAGCCCAAGAGTAGGCAATCTTCAGAACATCTAGACCTCATCTCCCCTGGTGGTTTGCCAGCATTAAGGAAATGTTGTCCACATCTGAAGTTGCAAAGGTTGCCTACCCCTCTACTACTTAATACCACAATAAACCAGAAGGGGGAGCCAAAGGCAGTAACCCCTCTACTATTTAATACCATAATAAACCACAAGGTGGAGCAAAGGCAGTAACCCCTCTACTATTTAAAACCATAATAAACCACTAGGTGGAGCCAAAGGCAGTAACCCCTCTACTATTTAATACCATAATAAACCACTAGGTGGAGCCAAAGGCCGTAACCCCTCTACTATTTAATACCATAATAAACCACTAGGTGGAGCAAAGGCAGTAACCCCTCTACTATTTAATACCATAATAAACCACTAGGTGGAGCCAAAGGCAGTAACCCCTCTACCATTTAATACCATTATAAACCACGAGGTGGAGCCAAAGGCAGTAACCCCTCTACTATTTAAATACCATAATAAACCACTAGGTGGAGCAAAGGCAGTAACCCCTCTACTATTTAATACCATTATAAACCACAAGGTGGAGCCAAAGGCAGTAACCCCTCTACTATTTAATACCATAATAAACCACTAGGTGGAGCCAAAGGCAGTAACCCCTCTACTATTTAATACCATTATAAAACATGAGGCGGAGCCAAAGGCAGTAACCCCTCTACTATTTAATACCATAATAAAACATGAGGTGGAGCCAAAGGCAGTAACCCCTCTACTATTTAATACCATAATAAACCACTAGGTGGAGCCAAAGGCAGTAACCCCTCTACTATTTAATACCATTATAAACCACGAGGTGGAGCCAAAGGCAGTAACCCCTCTACTATTTAATACCATAATAAAACACGAGGTGGAGCCAAAGGCAGTAACCCCTCTACTATTTAATACCATAATAAAACATGAGGTGGAGCAAAGGCAGTAACCCCTCTACTATTTAATACCATAATAAACCACTAGGTGGAGCCAAAGGCAGTAACCCCTCTACTATTTAATACCATTATAAAACATGAGGCGGAGCCAAAGGCAGTAACCCCTCTACTATTTAATACCATAATAAAACATGAGGTGGAGCCAAAGGCAGTAACCCCTCTACTATTTAATACCATAATAAAACATGAGGTGGAGCCAAAGGCAGTAACCCCTCTACTATTTAATACCATTATAAACCACGAGGTGGAGCCAAAGGCAGTAACCCCTCTACTATTTAATACCATTATAAACCACTAGGTGGAGCCAAAGGCAGTAACCCCTCTACTATTTAATACCATAATAAACCACTAGGTGGAGCCAAAGGCAGTAACCCCTCTACTATTTAATACCATTATAAAACATGAGGCGGAGCCAAAGGCAGTAACCCCTCTACTATTTAATACCATAATAAAACATGAGGTGGAGCCAAAGGCAGTAACCCCTCTACTATTTAATACCATAATAAACCACTAGGTGGAGCCAAAGGCAGTAACCCCTCTACTATTTAATACCATTATAAACCACTAGGCGGAGCCAAAGGCAGTAACCCCTCTACTATTTAATACCATTATAAACCACTAGGTGGAGCCAAAGGCAGTAACCCCTCTACTATTTAATACCATAATAAACCACTAGGTGGAGCCAAAGGCAGTAACCCCTCTACTATTTAAATACCATAATAAACCACAAGGTGGAGCCAAAGGCAGAAACTCACTTTCATACTTGTCCTTTCCCATGTAAATCGTATATGGCGAGGAGACAACTGCAAAAAATAAATAAAACAGAATTATTGTAGATTTGAAAGCAGAATATTAGAACGTTACCCAAAGTTTATTGAAGTAACTCCTATTACATATCAGGAACCTTCCTGTGTTGAGTAAATGTAGCATTGTACAGCTTGATAATTACGCAATAATGGAAGCCACAATCCATATTTTCTTCTTTATAAACAGCCAAGTACAACACACAAGATAATGGAGCCAATGGGAGAGTTAACAGAGATAACACCGGATAGGAGAGCAGGGTATTTACACTGTAACATTTAGTAACATGATGACTGTGTTTTCAATGTTGTGAAACCGGAAATATTTGTAAAAAATTAGAAAACAGGTCACTGTGAAAAAAGGCAGATCCTTTTAAATGCCCTTGTCTGAAAGAACGCCCCAAGCAGGAATGTGCAAGAACACCATTGCAGGACAAAAATAAAATGGCTGACGCCAGATGTATGAACTTTGGAAAATATTTTACATGTTATGTATAAATGTATCGATAATAAATTTATTGTTATGGATTTAGGACCCTTGACACTTTCTTGTGCTACGCCATCTAATTAATTATTCTTGTTTTGTTTATGAACTTTTTAAAAACACAAACATCTCAAATCCCGTCTCTATAATCAGTCTCACACAGACGGCATTTTCACAGATCAATAAATGGGGACATTCACTCTCTTTCAATTCTGGCCCAAGTGGACTGAATCGTTTTATAGATAAATAAACTGCAACAAGTGTCTGGATCCCGCACACTTAATCTGTGGATTCCCTATGAAAACTGTAGTGACCCACTGGCTGTTTAGATTACCCTTTCCCCCGTGTGAAGCCCCAGATCTCAGTCCATGGCCACGTTCATCAATCCCGATGTTCTCAGTCAATATAACGCACTAGGAGCAGCATTTGGCTGACAGCAGAGCCTGATTTGGTTCTCACAGGGAAGGGTCTCTAGTGACTGTACGAAGAAGACCGCCACTAGAAGTGTGTTTAATCCTGAAATGTAAACATTCCAGTTTTTACACAGCTTTACACTGCAGGGTTGAAATTAAAGAGACACTGCACCCAGATCACAGTGGCCAGTCATTAAAATAAAGTGTTCTAGGTGCCTTTAGTTCTGCTCAACAAAAAAAATAAAAAAAATAGGGAGTAAATGAGGCATTGAGCTGCCCTTTAATGTGTGCAAGTTTCCAAAAAACACAATGTCATAAGTGAGCTGTGGCGGGACAAGAGAGTCAAACCTAGTTGTATGTGTGTAAATATAAATGATTGTTTCCATGCACAGATATAAAAAATACAATGCCAAGCTTTAAATTATTCTTCACAATAAGACATTTAATTCTAACCGGCAAAGAAATAAAAGTCAATCTATTTAGATGGTCAATTTAATGATTTAAAAAAGACAGCAGACGTTATATTTACACCTGTTTCCTTGAGTGGGGATCATACCACTTCAAGCGCTATCAGAGGAGCAAGGTTTTATGGCTCCATTACACGTGAGTGTACATTTTATAGTTTTTACCTACCCTTGCTCCATAGCTCTACATTCTTCACCATATAGATTTTTATTTATTTGTTTTTTTATGAGGATACCCCCTACTACACCTATAATTCGACGAATTACCTCTGCACTTCATCCATAGGCGGGGATTATTCCGCCCAGGCGCATACACTGGAGCTGTATTGAAGCTCCAGAAAAGTGTGAGTGCAGATCTTTTATCTTACCGATCACAACTACAGTTTTAAAATACTACACTATTATTCCTTCTCTGGTTCTCTCCACATATACCTTGTCAAGGATTACTGAAGTGCTGCACCTAGCAAAATATATATATATACACATACACACACACATATACATATATATACACACACACACACACACACACACACACACACACACACATCATAGAAATGTGACTTTTCCTTAATATTAGCTCCCGGCATTGAATGGGCTATATTTACGCTATTTATTGGTTTATGGCTTTTTTTGTGTGCCAGTTTCAGAGTTTTTATTTAAAAAAGATAATCCACATTGTTTTTCCTCTTCATCGACTAGGATTACCTTTCTATTAGATATAAATTTATTAGCATGCTATAAAATATATAAATTATGGTAAATATGGTTTTATTCACAAGTTTCATGAAAATGAAAGTAAATATCTTTATGATACCCGGTACTCTGGGATCCTTGTGACGCTCACTTACCATTGCTTGTGAAGTAGAACACCATAGTGATTCTTTGAAGGGATAGTGTGGCGTAGCAGAAAGGGTTACACGGTACAAGAACCGATTCCCAGCATAAATACCAACAGATATCTGAAATACAGGAGTAGATGGTTAACAATACACATGGCTCATTTCCATAAACAGCTCTGTTTCATCAAGTTCATACAAAGAATATTCTAACAAATATGCAATGCTTCCTAAACTAAAGACAGGGTTTCAGCAGTCAGAAAACATTAAAGTGAATTACTTCATTCACACAAAAAAACTAAACAAACATCCATCATATCCCCATCACCTCGAAGCCCAGGTCTTACCACATGTACAGCTGGCAGAGCCCACACACCACAGTGGAGAGCAAGAACTCTATGGTACTTCTTGGGCGGCCCTGCCGGCCTCAGTACTGTGGCTTATAAAGAGAGATGGTGGGCAGCTAAAACGAGGATTTTAAGTCCACCACCTCAAAATGACCCACAACATATAAAGAGATTAGAGGGGCCAGTTCCCATTACTTCCAATTAATGTGTGAAATAAATTTATAATTTTACCTCACAATAAATGCCTCTGAGAAAAACAATGACAGATGTCTGATGGTTCAGAGGAGATTGTTGTTGGTGTACAGACTCCCAAAGCCAGCTAATGGCTATTGATACTGAGATGCCAAGAAGTAGATTCCCTCTGAAGAACTCACAGCCCTCAGCAATACAGAAATATTAAATATGAATGTCACTACCATCATGTTGGGCTAGTCATGGTCACAATATTCTGTAACAGGATGTGTGGAAATGGCTAGCATGAAGAACTGCATTCCCACTCTGGAATGATAGAAAACTCCAACAATCCCTGGATATAATACTATCACCCTGAGCCGGCGTGCGCCAGACAGGGACACGGCGTGCGCCAGACAGGGACACGGCGTGCGCCAGACAGGGACACGGCGTGCGCCAGACAGGGACACGGCGTGCGCCAGACAGGGACAAGGCGTGCGCCAGACAGGGATACGGCGTGTGTTATACAGGGACACGGCGTGCGTCAGACAGGGATACGGCGTGCGTCAGACAGGGATACAGTGTGTGTTATACAGAGATACAATGTGTGTTACACAGGGATACAGTGTGTGGTGGAACCAGCCTCGCCACTGGGCATTGGAGAAGACTGATTGCAAGCTTCCTGCCATGTGACTATGGCCCCTGGGATGTATTGCCTGCTCTCCTGTACTGCTGAGGATTGCTACCAACTAGGTGGATTTGGCTATGGAGCTTGTGTAGTGCCCTCTGTTAGTAGCAACAGTAATATGCACTACCTGAATAGCAAGACTGGTAATTTGCATATCGCTAATTCTGCATGCAGGAGAGACATTTTGTGTTAATTATAGTCTCCCCCACCCATTTATAAATATGTAATTATGTTATAAGTTACTGTATGTTGCCTGCTATGATTTGATTGTTTTGTAATTTTACTGAGTTTTCACAGCAATGTTAATGTAACGACCATATGGGCTAGTCCCAAGTAAAATAAAGTTTTAGACAGTTCTACTTCAACCTCAATTTGGAGTCTTGTCTCTTATTGGGGGAAACTGCTACATGGGATTGCTATGCTCTGCATATTCCCATGCTATAAATCACTACTAAGCTCTTATAAGAGTTTGTTCCTGCTTCGCTCGGAAGGAAGAGAGGTTCTGCCTGCGGTGGTTGTGGTGTCAACTAGAGTGCTTGGAGCCCTCAAGAAGCGCTTGGGTGCCGGGTGATTTGTTACACAGTGCGTGTGTTACGCAGGGATACAGTGCGTGTGTTACGCAGGGATACAGTGCGTGTGTAACGCAGGGATACAGTGCGTGTGTTACGCAGGGATACAGTGCGTGTGTTACGCAGGGATACAGTGCGTGTGTTACGCAGGGATGATAGTGTGTTACGCTTGGGGATACAGTCGTGTGCGCGGGGATGCAGTGCGTGTGTTGCAGGCGTCATTGCGCGGGGATACGAGTCGTGTGTTGCGCTTGAGGATTGCAGTGTTATTGTTGCGCGGGGATACAGTCGCGTGTGTTACGCGGGGATACAGTCGTGTGTTGCATGAGAGGATTACAGTGCGTGTGTTACGCAGGGATACAGTGCGTGTGTTACGCAGGGATACAGTGCGTGTGTTACGCAGGGATACAGTGCGTGTGTTACGCAGGGATACAGTGCGTGTGTTACGCAGAGATACAGTGTGTTATGCAGGGATACAGTGTGTGTTATGCAGGGATACAGTGTGTGTTATGCAGAGATACAGTGTGTGTTATGCAGGGATACAGTGTGTGTTGTACAGGGATACAGTGTGTGTTATACAGGGATACAGTGTGTGTTATACAGGGATACAGTGTGTGATACAGGGATACAGTGTGTGATACAGGGATACAGTGTGTGTTATACAGGGATACAGTGTGTGTTATACAGGGATACAGTGTGTGTTATACAGGGATACAGTGTGTTATACAGAGATACAGTGTGTTATACAGAGATACAGTGTGTGTTATACAGAGATACAGTGTGTGTTATACAGAGATACAGTGTGTGTTATACAGAGATACAGTGTGTGTTATACAGAGATACAGTGTGTGTTATACAGGGATACAGTGTGTGTTATACAGGGATACAGTGTGTGTTATACAGGGATACAGTGTGTGTTATACAGAGATACAGTGTGTGTTATACAGGGATACTGTGTGTTATACAGAGATACAGTGTGTTATACAGGGATACAGTGTGTGTTATACAGAGATACAGTGTGTGTTATACATGGATACAGTGTGTTATACAGAGATACAGTGTGTGTTATACAGGGATACAGTGTGTGTTATACAGGGATACAGTGTGTGTTATACAGGGATACAGTGTGTGTTATACAGGGATACAGTGTGTGTTATACAGAGATACAGTGTGTGTTATACAGGGATACAGTGTGTTATACAGGGATACAGTGTGTTATACAGGGATACAGTGTGTGCTATACAGGGATACAGTGTGTGCAATACAGGGATACAGTGTGTTATACAGAGATATAGTGTGTGTTATACAGAGATAAAGTGTGTGTTATACAGGGATACAGTGTGTGTTATACAGGGATACAGTGTGTGTTATACAGGGATACAGTGTGTGTTATACAGGGATACAGTGTGTGTTATACAGGGATACAGTGTGTGTTATACAGGGATACAGTGTGTGTTATACAGAGATACAGTGTGTGTTATACAGGGATACAGTGTGTGTTATACATGGATACAGTGTGTGATACAGGGATACAGAGTGTTATACAGAGATACAGTGTGTGTTATACAGGGATACAGTGTGTGTTATACAGGGATACAGTGTGTGTTATACAGAGATACAGTGTGTGTTATACAGAGATACAGTGTGTGTTATACAGAGATACAGTGTGTGTTATACAGAGATACAGTGTGTGTTATACAGAGATACAGTGTGTGTTATACAGAGATACAGTGTGTGTTATACAGGGATACAGTGTGTGTTATACAGAGATACAGTGTGTGTTATACAGGGATACAGTGTGTGTTATACATGGATACAGTGTGTGATACAGGGATACAGAGTGTTATACAGAGATACAGTGTGTGTTATACAGGGATACAGTGTGTGTTATACAGGGATACAGTGTGTGTTATACAGAGATACAGTGTGTGTTATACAGAGATACAGTGTGTGTTATACAGAGATACAGTGTGTGTTATACAGAGATACAGTGTGTGTTATACAGAGATACAGTGTGTGTTATACAGAGATACAGTGTGTGTTATACAGAGATACAGTGTGTGTTATACAGGGATACAGTGTGTGTTATACAGGGATACAGTGTGTGTTATACAGGGATACAGTGTGTGTTATACAGGGATACAGTGTGTGTTATACAGGGATACAGTGTGTGTTATACAGAGATACAGTGTGTGTTATACAGGGATACAGTGTGTGTTATACAGGGATACAGTGTGTGTTATACAGAGATACAGTGTGTGTTATACAGGGATACTGTGTGTTATACAGAGATACAGTGTGTGTTATACAGAGATACAGTGTGTTATACAAGGATACAGTGTGTGTTATACAGAGATACAGTGTGTTATACAGGGATACAGTGTGTGTTACAGGGAGACAGTGTGTGTTATACAGGGATACAGTGTGTGTTATACAGGGATACAGTGTGTTATACAGGGATACAGTGTGTGTTATACAGGGATACAGTGTGTGTTATACAGGGATACAGTGTGTGATATACAGGGATACAGTGTGTGATATACAGGGATACAGTGTGTGATATACAGGGATACAGTGTGTTATACAGAGATACAGTGTGTGTTATACAGAGATACAGTGTGTGTTATACAGTGTGTGTTATACAGGGATACAGTGTGTTATACAGAGATACAGTGTGTTATACAGAGATACAGTGTGTGATACAGGGATACAGTGTGTGATACAGGGATACAGTGTGTGATACAGGGATACAGTGTGTGCTATACAGGGATACAGTGTGTGTTATACAGGGATACAGTGTGTTATACAGAGATACAGTGTGTGTTATACAGAGATACAGTGTGTGTTATACAGTGTGTTATACAGAGATACAGTGTGTGTTATACAGAGATACAGTGTGTGTTATACAGTGTGTTATACAGAGATACTGTGTGTTATACAGAGATACTGTGTGTGTTATACAGGGATACAGTGTGTTATACAGAGATACAGTGTGTTATACAGAGATACAGTGTGTGATACAGAGATACAGTGTGTGATACAGAGATACAGTGTGTGTTATACAGAGATACAGTGTGTGTTATACAGAGATACAGTGTGTGTTATACAGGGATACAGTGTGTTATACAGGGATACAGTGTGTGTTATACAGGGATACAGTGTGTGTTATACAGGGATACAGTGTGTGTTATACAGGGATACAGTGTGTGTTATACAGGGATACAGTGTGTGTTATACAGGGATACAGTGTGTGTTATACAGGGATACAGTGTGTGTTATACAGGGATACAGTGTGTGTTATACAGAGATACAGTGTGTGTTATACAGGGATACAGTGTGTGTTATACAGGGATA